GAGGCGCACGAGCACTGTGATCCATATCACTAGAAACCCTGTACAGACCTCAATCCGTGTAGCTTTAAACCCCGAGACTTAAACCCCAAACCCCTAAACCCCTAAAACCCCTAAAACCTCTAAACCCCTAAAACCCCTAAAACCCCTAAACCCCTAAACCCCTAAAACCCCTAAAACCCCTAAACCCCTAAAACCCTCAAACCCCTAAAGCCCTCAAACCCCTAAAACCCTAAGCCCCTAACCCTGAGTTTGAGGCCCATGGAGCCGGTTCGTGTGCTGTGGGCTTTCGGAGCCCTCGGCCCGAGCTGCCTGGGATGTCGGGCGCCACTTTGGAGGCCCGTAGGGTCTATAGGGGTTTGGGGGTTTAGGGGTTTAGGAGTTTATAGGGTTTATCCCCTATCGTTCCAGGTATTGCTCAGAGGCTCGCGTGCACCCTAAACCCTGAACCGTTGAAGATTTCGGTGGGCCCGATTCCGTGGCGCTTCAGCGAGATGGATTTCGACGTCGGAGTCGGCAAGCGCGAGGTGTTTCTGAGTGTGTTTAGGGCTTAGGGTTTAGGGTTTAGGGTGCCGGTACGAGGTTAGTTGACTCTTTTCCCCCGCAATCTGCAGTTATGGATGGGAATTTCGAATGTAGTAGCTGCATCAGAATGCCCTAGGCCTCAAGTGCGGAACCCACGCAGCTTCGAGTGGTGCTGTGGTCCGGCAACTCGGACGGAGTGCTGGTGGGGCCTGCTGGTCGTGGTTTAGGGTTTGGGTGTAGGGTTTAGGGTAGGTGTTCCGAGAGTTGTAAGCTTCTTTCTACCAAGGTCTTATGCGGGTTGTACAATGAAGATTTACATCGGTACTCTGTAAGGCATACAGTAAGGCTCAGTAAGGGAGTGTATAGGGGCTTCAAGCTTGTTCGCGATTGCATTGGGGACTCGCGCTGGGGCACTTTTTTGTGAATAATCGTTTCTAGGGTAATTCCGAGTTCTCGAAAAGGGTCCCACGATGTTTTGTTTTATTGGTGCATTGTTTACCTTTTTTTTTGCGGTTTCGTGAACGTCCACGTTCAGGTCGTTCTGGAAGAGATGGCTTTGTTGGCCTGGGCTCTTTCGTGGCCTCGAACGCAAGTGAAACACCGAAAGTTCCGAAAACTAATGGTAGCAGCAAGATGCTGGACGGGTTTCTGGAGGATACCGAGGATCCCTACGATTTAGAGTTTAGCGGGGTCCGAAACCCTAAACCGAAAAAGCCCCACAACCCCGAAACCTCGCTTGAAGCCTCAAAAGCCCGAAAGCCAAATCCACAGATCCAACCCTAAAGCACCATATCCTCAGTCCTGACTTTAGGGTCTAGGGTTTTAGGGTTTAGGGTTAGGGGATAAAAGGGTTTAGGGTTCAGGGTTTAGGGTTTATGGGTGCAGGTTTAGGTTGTTAGGGTTTAGGGTTTAGTCATTATAGGGTTTAGTTTTAACATCTAAGGTGTCGGAAACCTCACGTAGCCTTCCGAATCCCGCAACTCACAGCCACCAAGCCATCACAAACAGGATCCCAGAAGCCAAACCAAAGCCTGATACCCCGAAGCTTTAGAGTTTAGGGGTGTAGAGGTTTAGGGTTTAGGCGTTTAGGGTTTAGGGGTTAGGGTTTAGGGTTTAGCCACTGAAAGCTCAACCCACGAACCATGAACATGAAAGTCGTGCAGAAGGCATAGAGACCCTTGCGGCAAGCCACTTGCAGAACTCTCAATTCCTGAAGGGTTCCTTCCTGTAGCTGCACAAGAATATTCCACCAGAGCCTCATTATGATTGTGCAACAACGCCTAGAGTAGAAGCCATCAAGTTGGAACATTGTAATCATGTAATCCTCGCCCGTAAGGTAAAGTATATGGGATTATGGGATCCTAGCACCAATCATCCTAAGCCCAAGTTCCGACTTTCTGAGGTTCGCTAAACCCTAAACACCTAAACCCGAAACTGTAAAGCTTAAACCTTACACTCCGAGGCCACATCTTTGCCTTCGATGGCCTCCTTGCCAGCTTGGAAGCGGCAGAAAAGACGGGAATGGCTGCAGAGCCCCAGAGCATATGATTAAGGGGTTTCGGGTTTTGGGTGGTTTAGGGTTTATAGGGCTTTAAACCTCAGAGCACACGATGAAGGGCTTCGGGCGAGGCGAGGATTTGGCGTGGAGGGTTGCGGATTCGGGATCGTTTAGGGGTTCTGGCTTGAGGACATATAAACCCTAAACCCTAAAAACTCTATCATCCCTGAACCCTAAACCCTGAATGTTTCGGATTCGTCTAAGGCTTCAGAGCCCTTGGGCTGATCTCAGGGACGGGGCTAGTGCCTAGCATCAGCCGCTTTGGAGGGTGTGGCCTTCAAGGGGTGTAGGACTACCTGTAGGGAAGGCGGAGAACGGAGACCCCGAAAATCGACGCTCCTACGGTCCTGAGCATGCATAAGTTCGGTTTCAATTTGTGCCTTGTCCCACGCTTCTCACTGTTCTGCCTTATTCTCATCTCCCTGGTTCCTAGTAGAGAATGGAGGAATGGGTTTTTGGGACTACTACAGAGGACCTTAAAAAAAAACTAGCATAGGGATCCATTCCCCCATTCCCTATTCAGAACCAGGGAGTTATTCTCATGCGAAGCTCATCTTTGCCTCCGGGTCCTGTGCTGCGGCCTTCAAGGAAGCCGTGATCCTCTCCTACGCGGTGGCTGGCAGGCGACGGTTTCTGAAGCCCCAAAATCTTTAAACCATACTCTACTCTAGGATACTATATACTATATACTATAATTGACTATAATGTATTATAATATAATGAGCCTGCAAGACATAAAGCCCCCCCCCCCCCCCCCCAAACTCTTAAAGCTGAACAGGGCATGGGGTTGAAGGTTTGGGGTCTGTACCTTCACGAGTTTCAGGGAATGGAGGAACCAGGGTAAAGGGCTTAGGGCAAAGGACGAAAGCACACCTGGCATGTGAAGGCCGAAGAACCTCAAGGCCGAAAAACACTCTGTGGAGTGCCGAAACCATGCCTGAGGACCTGCTGGCAGTATGTCCTGGAAGATATATATATATATGTATATATATATATATGTCATTATGTGGGCGAGAAAAAGTTCACTCACTCGGTTGACGGCAAAGCTTTCACTTTAACATCATCCCCCCCCCCCACACAACTGGAAGGTCGACGACGTGGTATTTTCAAAGTCTTATCCTCAAGTTTGCCCCCACAGCTCAGGCACCAGTAGAAAGGTGCAGGCTGTTTAGAACCCAATATGCTTTGTTTATTTAGGGTTTTGTCTCGCGACGGAAGGTGGGGTGCCGCGAGACAGCAGTGCGAACAGCTCCAGGACTCTTGGATGCCTGGGGGAACTCTGCGCCCTGACGTTTCTGGCTCTGCGTGTCTCTGTGTGTGACCACTTTGCGTTTGCGGCTGTTGCTTTCATAGGAGGTTCACGGGCGGCCTGCAGAGGAAGCTTGTAAATACCCAAGAGCAACATGATGCACACTACTGAGCACGATCACAGCAGACTTAGCTGCTGCCCTTGCCGCAACGCAAATTGGGCCAACGGCCCCACGCATTCAAGCGCGAATGCCAAGAGCTAAAGCCAACAACTCGGCTTTCAACCCGCAGCCTACAAAAGTGCGCTTGCTCAAACCGTGCCACATCTTGCACCCAACCGCCGCAGCCCCAAATCCAACAGTGCCTAAACTCCTCGATCAGCTCGCAAATCGACAAAAACAAGTCTTGTACAAACCCCTGGCTCCTGAACGCACAACCCAAAACCCTCAAACCCTAAACCCTCGAACTCTCAAACCTAAGCCCTAAACTGCCTAAACCCTCAAACCCCCTGATTCCTAAGCCCTGTGACTCGGAAGGAATCGCTTGGACTCGGCAGCGCGCTTTGCCTGGGTTCGGCGGCCGATGTTCTCATGGACTGGTGTACCTCCATGGGCATAGGCCGGGGGAGGAGGGAGGGCCGAGGGCCTACCTGTAACCGAAAAGACCTACCCTTTTAGGGTTCATGATTATGGTTTCTATATATAGTTCCTTAAAAGGGTAGGTCTTTTCGGTTACAGGTAGGGTATTGGGCTTAGTGTTCTTCCATGGGCATATTCCCGCGTCTGGTGCTACAGGGCTCTGGGTATAAGGCTTACGGGTTTGGGGGTTTAGATACATGTTCAGGGCTTGAGTGTTTACGGCTGTTGGGTTTGAATGTTTGTGGTTTAAGGTTTCCTAAACCCTAAAGCCTACACCCCGAAACCCCTAAACCCTAAACCCGGTGGGGATCCACGAGTTTCCAACAGCTTGGAAGGGGAATTGATTTAGGAACAAGTCACGCTCGATTCTTAAGGCTTGCGTAAGTCGTTGCCTCTTGTCTTTCGCAAGTTCTGTGGCTAGTATCTTAGTCTCTGTTGTTTTTGTTGAGGGGGGGTCCGGCTTCCTTTCACAGCTGATCCCAGTATTGAGGGTCTCTATAAAGAGTTACTTAGTTGTTCGCCCGAGCGATGCTCTCTCCTGAAGTCGTCGTTGGGAGCTGAACCCTTGAACTCCGAGTGTGTAGGATATATCAAGGTCCTCTACATTGAGGGTTTAGGGCTAGGGCTTGGGGCTTAGGTCCCATAGTGCTCGTGTGAGCGCCTACTGGAGCCGAGTTACAGCCCTGAAGAAGAATGAAGACTATTGGCACAGGCACTGAGACGGGCTGTTCGATCCACGACGTGCGGCAGACGCTTCAGAAGCTGCGACATGAGGTGGGGGTCTCGATAAGATTTGGACATCTTCCTTGTTCTCCGAGGGTTTGTCTCGGCGAAAAACCTGCTCCAATATGTGCATGGGGGGGTTCCTTCTGCTGGAAGTCTTGGGCCGTTGTAGATGACTGCACATTCAGTTCTGGCCTCTTGGGCTTTGTTGCGAGGTCTGCGAGTTCAGTGGGGGGAGATGAACGCCATCTAAGCCGGATGAACTTACCATCCATCACGCATCATCTATTCTATTCGCAAGCCCAAGGAAGCTCTTTGTTCAGGTGTCAACTCTCCGGACTGCTGATCTGCTACTCTGTGGCTATCCCTATGCTCTCTGCCCTATCTTGGGAACGAGTTCCGAGTTGAAGGATGTCCCGATGCTGGCACCTGGGGCGGCAGGGAGCAGAAGGAGACCTTTGCCTTTACTTCACAGGTTCTTGTGCTTTGGGTCCCCTGAAGAATGGCCAAGACTATTCCGTAACTTAGACCTCCACAATGCATTTATGGTACACTATACCCAAAAGTCCTACTCTCATTGTTGTGGCCCCTGAGCTGTATCCATGGAGTTTGCAGAGAAGCAGGTACTGGTCCATGGTGCTGGGTCTCTGGCCGAGTATGCCGACGAATCGCTCACTCCGTGGCTGCTGGGCACTTTCCAACGCTGGATTACCTCTGACCCAGCAGAGCCCACGAAAGGAGCGACGGCAATGGCTCTTCGGAAGGTTGTGTTTAATGATCGATTGGACCTGGCTTTGGCAAGGGCAGCCTTTGGCGAAGCATCGCAGCCACAACTGGTGGAATTTGGTGCCCGATATGTCCTTCGACTGGCCGGCGGCGTCCAATGCGATCGTCGTCTCGGAGGGCATAAACGTTTATTGCTTTGGAGGACTGCTTTTCGGAGCTTGTAGTGTTTGCTTTGAAGAAGAGAGAGGAAGAAGTGCCATTAATGCTGAGACAGGTCACAGTCCACGTTCCCGGCGCTGGTAGCTCTGGGTATCGAGAGACTGTTCACGCAAGTCGTTCGAAGCATCGATTGGTCTGTGGCCTGGTGTGATTCGTCTCGGTGCTTGAAGGTCCAGGGTGTTCAAGCGTGTACTACGTGGACAGAATCTTTCGCTACGGTCCCAAGAGCGACAAGAACTTGAACCCCAAAATCTATTCTTGTATTTCTGTCACCTCTACCTAAACCTTATGAAGCCCTATAAGCCCTTCTTCAACCCTACTCCTTTAGTCTATTCAGATTCTTGCCCGCCCCAAGTAACATGGAACTCCGAGGGATTGTTGAAATTCGAGTTCGGCTCTACGGGAGTGCGAAGATTGGAAGTCTTACCCTTAGCATCAAAATGGCCCAAAAGCCTTACATAATAGGGCCTTTGGGCCCAAAAGCCTTGAAATATGAGTCCTTGGAGGGTAAGGGTTAAGGAAAGCGGGCGTCGCGGGTTCCTTGCAAAACTACACAGATGACAGAACGGATCCCCCTTGTTTCCTGCGTTTTGCTGAGGATACTCGTTCAGGAAAGCGCGAGACTAGCCTCAACCCTAAACCCTACACCCCCCAAACCCCAAACCCTAAATCCTGAACTTCCTGAACCCTAAACCACCTGAGCCCTAGACCACAAACCCTAAATCCTGAACCCTAAACCCCATACCCTAAACCCCAAAACCCTAAACCCCAAACCCCCTAAACCCTAAACCCCCTAAACCCCCTTAACCCTAAACCCTAAATCCTGAACCCTAAACCCCCTAAACCCCAAACCCCAAATCCTGAACCCTAAGGTAGAGCAGATGCCAGTGGCGGAAGTTCGCGAGTTCCACTATCCGGCACCTGGGGTCTGGCTTATCAGCAGAAGACCTTAGGGTTTAGGGGTTTAGGGTTTTAGGGTTTAGGGGTTTAGGGTTTAGGGTTCAGGGGTTTAGGTTTTGGGTCTACGTGTTTAGGGTTTAGGACTTAGGGGGTTTAGGGTTTAGGGGGCTTAGGGTTTGGGGTTTACAGTAGGTCAGTAGGGTTTAGGGCTTATGGCGTTTATGGGGTGCTCGGCTCAGGTTGAGGCACCAAAATAGGGATATGAAATGGTCTGATATAACAGGGGCACTCATGCTAAGTACCATGGCTCTCTTCTTAAAAGTATGGTGGCTGACATGACGTTCCGTAACCCGAAAATCCTAAACCCCTAAGCCCTAAAGTCCGAAGGCCTTCAACTCTTAAACCCCAAAAACCCGTTAATAAGCCCCACAAGCCCCTAAACCATCTTAAACCTCTCTAGGCCCTAAACCCTGAACAACCCCATAAGCCCTTAAACCATCTTAAGCCCCTCGGCCCGACGCCCTATAAACCCCTACGGTTGATGGTAGAAATCCTGCATTACCCATTATAAGGAATACACATAGTTTGGGCCCTTAAGGTAATGCAGGATTTCGATCATCAACAGCCCTAAACCCTAAAGCCAAGTAGTTCCTAACAACCAACCCAGGAGCTGCACGACTTCTCCGCGGTGCTGCAAATTCCCTGGGACTTCGGACTCGTTTCGTTTCAAGAGGTGCCTCCCACGACCGAGTAGCTGCACTTAGGGTTGAGAGAGGGTTTGTTTGGGCTTATAGGGTTTAGGGAGGGTTTCGGGTTTGGAGGTTGCAATCCATCGAAAACTCTGACGAGCTTCATCCGAGCCTTTCTCAGCCAGGATGTGGCCTTACCTATAGTCTCCATTGCAGTTCTTTTTTGTGGTTTAAGGAATTGTCTAATTACGATCCTCTAAGGCAACACTAAAAAGCGAACTACAATGGAGACTGCAGGTAGTCTTTTTAATTCCTAGCCAAGAACCGGTTTGCCTAAGACAAAGCCTCATTCAAAGAGCGAGTTTGACAAACCCCTGAAACCATGAAACCTCTAAACCCCTAAACCCTCAACCCCTTAAACCCTCAAACCCTAAACCCCTAAAACCCTAAACCCTCAAGCCC